TGGTTGCCTTTTATTGGGATATAAATTACAATTTGGCATCTGCAGACGCAGACCGAATACGTAAGGAATATGATGAGTCCAGTGCTAAATTATCTAAAATCCAGTCAAGGATATCAAGCCTGACACAGAAGCTAAAATATGACTTTGGTTAGTTCAATAACTCTTTCCTGTTTCTAGTTGGGGTAATTGTTTATAATAGCTTAGGTGATCCAAACTAAATAATTATGTGATGTTGCAGGACAGGAGAAGGAGTTCTATTCATTTTATGGTCAATGTTTTGAGAACAAGGAAAACAAGTAACAAATTTTGTTTTATTTGTTAATCTCGTTGTTCTTTCTTTTTTTTTTTAATTATTTTTTACGCGTAACTGCGGTTGTGATTACTTCATATCTTATTTGTGGGAAATAAATTATTCAGGTATGTTTACAAAGTCTGCCCATATAAACAAGCATCTCAGGTCGAGGGGCATACAACAACTCGTTTAGGGTAGGTGCCAGTTTCATATGTATTTGTCTTTTGAAAGAGAATTATTGTTTCCAGTCACTTCCATATATTTTGTCCTCGCATTTCTCTCCAGGACCCTTTCTAAGTAATTTAGCATACTTTTTTTTCTTAGTGGATCTGTGAAATAATAAACATGAAGAATCTGATATAGATAATGCAGAAAGAATATCTGGGCTGTCTAATAAAAATGTAGTAGTTGGGGGTGGTAGGAAGTTATTTTTAATGCAACATTGTATAATGGCCAGGAAGCTGTTAGTACTTGATGTGTGCTCATCAACTAGTGTAGTTATCATATGCAGCACTGATGTTTATCATTTTCTGCAGATTTTAGGAAATATTAGTGCTTCTATATCCCTGATCTTTCTCTTGTTTTGGTAAAATAGGAACTGGGACAAATTTGAGGAGTCTTATAGACACATGGTGTTCTCCAATGGTGATAAGTGCTGGAATGGTCCTGATAGAAGTTTGAAGGTATCCTATGCCTTGTGACAACAAATATGCTTGTTCATGTTTTGGTTTGCTGCCAATTGGTGAAAAACATTGCATTTAGAAGGCGTTGACTTAATAATCGATTTAAATAATGATTTTTTTTTTCATAAAGAATCTAAATAATGATTATTGACTTATTGAAAAGGTAGCTCGCAAGACACAAATTAGGTTACTTTAAAGGTCATGTAAAATGCCTTTCTTCCAATTAAAAAGAAATAGAGAGATTTGGTGGTCCATTAAGTATGTGTAAATTCTTCTATTTACAGGTTAGGCTAAGATGTGGTTTGACAAATGAGGTTGCTGATGTAGATGAACCTAGCCGTTGCGAGTAAACTCACTCTCTCTCTCTCTTTACTGGCTGTTGCTCTTTACTGGTTATAGGTTTCCTTAACATGTTATCTTTGATGGCAGATATGTAGCTTTGTTGTCTACACCAGCTTTGTGCCTGGAAGAAACGCTTAAAGTAAGACTTGGGTTTGAATTAAGTTCTCTGCCTACCACATTTGCTGTGGCTGGATTTTCTACTAACATCATTCTTTGTATGGTAAAATGTTATAGGAACTAGAAGAGAAACTTGATGCATTAAATCAAGAACAACCTCAGAAGCGTGATGAACTCTAAAATACCCGAATAAATGTGTATTGGATCCACTGGAGAGTGCTAACTGCTTAAATCTGTCTGGCTGGGGAATTGTTGATTTTAATCTTGAAAGACGAAGAGGTGCCACTGCAACACAGCCCTTCACCGGCATATAGTTGGAAGAATTTCGGGCTAATAATTAGGAATAGTATTGGAAAAAAATTTTTGGGTCTCTGGAGGATGCTTCACATTAAAACTTTTACTTTTTTTTTTTTCTTTTTCTTTTTTTGTGATAGACCAATTTGAGTAAGGTGGCAGCATGACTAGTAGGTTGACCCACCCAGGTTAAGTATAGACATTGGTGTTGTTACACTTGGTATATCATGAAAGGCAATTTATGAAACTAACAATAAGAGGTATAACACGCTTTTCTTGGAGATTGTTTGTTTGTTTGGGAGATATATTGAAATGAACCATCGGATTTTTTGAGGAACATATCGAGAAAGAATTGGATTTGGTTAGACAATGTCTGGTTGGTAAACAATTATCGATTTTTTAGTAAGGTACGAAATGTATCGTCAAATATTCAATACGATTCTACGAGATCTAGTTTTGTTCAAGTAACGGATTCTAACCAATTGAAAGGATTTTCTGATCAATTCAGAGTTCATTTCGATTTCATTAGTAATGAGAATTCGGAATATCACACATTGATCAATCAAACAGAGATTCAACAACTAAAAAAAAGATAAATTTTTTGGAATCTTTTCTTTCTTCCAACAGAACGAACAGAGATAGAATTAAACCAATTTTCTAAATGACTTTCTGGATATTCCTCAATGTCTCGGCTATTCACGGAATGTGAGAAGCGGATGGAGTTCAAAATGGGTTCGAACCATTTGATGGTCTCTCATGGGATCCATCAAAAGGGTGTTTGAATGGAGCCGAATGCATCCGAGTAGCTGAGGTTGTTCAAATTCAAAATTGGCTCCATTAAAAGTGTGATAAATGGGAAAGGAATGAAAGAAATGAGAGAAGAAGAAAAAAAGAAAAACCTGTGAGCCGAAGCTGTTGGTTTTGGTTCCCACATGCAGGGTGTGGAAGAGAAAAAGTGCCTCATAACTATGACCATCCAATTCGGAGGTAGAATTTGACCGTTGCTGGAATTAAGGTATTAGTTTCTGAGACTTGTGTAATTTAACAGATAATCAAGAGAAAAAGATAGATTACAGCTCGCACATAGTCAGCCCATATCACGTTACTCATGACTTGTTTCCCACATGGAATCACACCATTCATGGCTTCTTCATTTCAACTCAACTACAAACACTGGTATCCCTGTTTATTTACCTTTCTTTAATTATATATATATATATATATATATAAACACAGTTCTTACCCATATATCTACTTTGGTATTTGTATAATAATTTAGTGGTACTGAAATTATATATATGTATTATATATATATATATATATTAAAGTAAGATGTATGACTAAATGATGAGAGATCTTCAACAACATGTTTTTGTGTAAGAGTTGTGTATATATTAATAAGGAAGGAAAGTCTGAACTCTGTAATCCATTTATATAATATCTCATTGACACAAAAGATAGTCTAGATTTATAAATACAATTATATAATATATATATATATAATAGAAATTATTTTTATCTACATATAAAAAAGTAAATAGCATTCAACTCCAATACCCACCTGTCAGAAATCTTTTTTTTTTTTTTTTTTTAATTTTTAACCTAATTAGATATTTGGAACTACAGGCGAAAACTGACCGCTGAATTTTACAAAACAAAAAGGCCATTTATTATGTTTTATACCATTTTCAAAACCAAGTATAAATATTCTTCCTCTCTATTTGATTCCCTTCTACTTCTTCTTCAAGCAACCTAATCAACTCTTCCTCTCTTTACATAGATACCCATCGTCAGAAATCCCTCACCACCTGCTTCTTCTTCTCCTCCTCCTCGTTTTCCTCATTCCAAAAACCTTCCTTTTTCTTTCTCTACCAGTAAACACAAGAAGAAATACATGGACTCCCTCGACCACAAGCGCGTCCCAAACGGCGCCCTTCTGCTCGACAAGAAGCCCAAGACGAAGATCGTTTGCACTCTGGGTCCTGCCTCCAGGTCCGTCCCTATGATCGAGAAGCTTTTGAGGGCTGGCATGAATGTCGCTCGCTTCAACTTCTCTCACGGATCTCACGAATATCACCAGGAGACCCTCGACAATCTCAGGCAAGCCATGCTTAACACCGGTACCCTCTGTGCTGTCATGCTCGACACCAAGGTAAGACGTGCATCCGTCTCCTCTCTTCTCTCAATCTATCTCTTTCTATTTATCTCTGGTTCTCTCTGCATCCGGGTCTTTCTTGCTTGGGGTTGATTTATTCTTCTCGTCTCTGTTTCTGATCCGAATTTATACGAGGGTATGTATGCATTTCCTTGTCTTCTCTTTCCTTTTATGAAGTTTACTTCTTTCCATCATCTGCCATGTTTCTGCAGTTTCAGGTTCTGATGGGGCCTTTTTTTTTTTTTTCTGTTTTTTGCCCATTCCTATTTTTGTTTTGTTATTTACTCCCGTAGGCAAATGGTTTCCCTGTGGAATTTGTATAAAGAGTTGTACAGTACTTAAATTTTGACTCTATGTTTTTGTTTTAGGATATTTTCTGAAAAAACTGAAGCTTTTTCGGTTCTCTATGGCTAAACACATGATAAAATATTCAACTACTTTGCTTATGAGATGGATTTGGATTTTCCCGGCCAATACAGGCTTTGTTTCAAGATTGATTGATTTGCGCCAAATTGTCTGTGCATCTCGACAAAATAGAATCAAGAACGGCTTTTTGGTTGTTACAGGCCAACATGCATGCATTCATTGCAAACGGAATGGAACAATGTAATTTCTGTTGTTAATATTGACAGCTAAAACCTACTATGTAATTAAATTGAAGTGTTCATCACCAATTCATTGTTGAGAGTTACCAGCATGTGTACTTGGTTACTAATCATGAATTTTGTGACTAAGGTTTTTTCTTCTTTGCTGCTAAGTATTAAATGGTATAGGAGAGAAAAAGCTTTCTCTTTATGGGTTCTCCCCAGCTCTATGTTACAGAAACAAATGGGCTTCGTGCTAGATTCCAGCATCAACTAATTTATCATTTTTTGAGCATCTTCTTGAGATTATTAAATTGATTATTTTTCATTGTAGGGCCAGAGAGAAACGTTGTTGGAGGAAGCCTGAATTGTCGCAATTTGTTTATTAAGCTTCCATTTCTTACTTTGAAATTATACTGATTATTGTTAACTTTTTTCGTATTTACTTGATTATTTGGAACAATCGAGTCCATGTAATAGCGTGGAATTGTAATTGCAAGTTCACATTTTTATATATGTTCTAAACATAAGAACCTGGATTTGTGAATGAATTGTTGACTTCTTTGTGGATTCCATTCATTCCAAACATAGCGCAACAACCATAATGTCGGTTAATGCCATGATATCATTTGTTAGTGGTCAAAACATCTGTTCTTCCTTCTATTCTTTGTGGGATCACAATAGGAGAAAAACCAAGTTTTTTGAAGTGCATGCAAACTTGGTCAAGAAAGTTTTCTGAGAACTTACTTAAGCTTCATAATGTTCTTCCTTTGTTGGCAAGCTGCCTAAGTTCAGGTTGATGTTTAATTTAATGGATCCTTACTGTTCATTTCCTGCGTATATTACAGGGTCCAGAGATTCGAACTGGATTTTTAAAGGATGGGAAACCTATACAACTTAAACAGGGTCAAGAAATCACCATATCTACTGATTATGACATAAAAGGTGATGAAAATATGATATGCATGAGCTACAAAAAATTGGCTGAGGATGTCAAGCCAGGGATGGTGATACTTTGTGCCGATGGTACAATATCATTTACCGTTTTATCTTGTGACAAAGAAAATGGTCTGGTTCACTGTCGCTGTGAGAACTCTGCAGTTCTAGGTGAAAGGAAAAATGTTAATCTCCCTGGGGTTGTTGTGGATCTCCCAACCTTGACTGAGAAAGACAAGGAAGATATTTTGCAGTGGGGAGTTCCTAATCAAATAGACATGATTGCTCTTTCTTTTGTTCGAAAAGGCTCAGACCTTGTGGAGGTCCGGAAACTGCTTGGAAAACATGCTAAAAACATTCTTCTCATGTCAAAGGTACGTTGATCTCTATGAAATAAGTTTGAAGACATTTTTGAAATCTTTCCTTTTTGAGTTAGTTGTTTGAAATTGGATCACAAATTAGAAGGAATCAGAATCTGGTATAAAGTAATATTCTGCTACAGTACTGATGGGAAAGAAGATACAATAGATTGGCCCAAAGCCCCATACATGAATTGGTGAAGAAAAATATTTTATATGGAAAATATGTTTCTTAATTTGTGGTCTTGTATAGAGATTGCTTTCTATATTTTGAGGTTACTATCTATGCTAAGGACAATGATTTTCCTTTCTTGGCATGCCCCTTTCCGTGTTGTTATAAAAATTTGAAATCCTTTCTATATTTTCTAGGTACAGCTTATGCTAATTAAATTTTGCTCGAAATTTGCATTACAGGTTGAAAATCAGGAAGGTGTGGCAAACTTTGATGATATCCTTGCAAATTCAGATGCATTCATGGTGGCACGTGGTGACCTAGGAATGGAGATCCCAATCGAAAAAATATTCCTAGCACAGAAAGTGATGATTTACAAGTGCAACATTCAAGGGAAACCTGTTGTTACAGCAACCCAGATGTTGGAGTCCATGATTAAATCTCCTCGACCTACTAGAGCTGAAGCAACTGATGTTGCAAATGCTGTTCTTGATGGCAGTGACTGTGTGATGCTTAGTGGTGAGACTGCTGCTGGAGCATATCCAGAACTTGCAGTTCAGACCATGGCAAAGATATGCATGGAGGCAGAAAGCACGCTGGACTATGGAGATGTCTTCAAAAGGATTATGGAGCATTCACCAGTGCCCATGAGCCCATTGGAGAGCCTAGCATCTTCTGCTGTCAGAACAGCAAATTCTGCAAAAGCAGCTCTTATATTGGTCTTAACCAGGGGAGGCAGCACTGCAAAGTTAGTGGCAAAGTACAGGCCTGGGTTGCCAATTTTATCTGTCATTGTACCTGAGATCAAGACAGATTATTTTGACTGGTCATGTAGCAACGAAGCTCCAGCTAGGCATAGCCTTATTTTCCGTGGATTAGTTCCAGTTTTATATGCAGGATCAGCTAGGGCTTCCCACGAGGAGTCAACAGAGGAAGCAATTGAGTTTGCTATTCAACATGGCAAGGAGAAGGGACTGTGCAAATGCGGGGACTCTGTTGTCGTCCTACTTCGAAGTGGGAATGCTTCTGTAATCAAGATCTTGACTGTGAAGTAACAACACTTCGAACAAGACAGCTCTTTTTGTTGGTTCCCATATTTGGTTATCTTAGGTGTGGATTCTCGGCATCACAGAAAACAGCTGCTTTCCGTATAATATGTTGAGCTTTGATTTTTGTTTCCTCCATTGCTACATTTTGGAAAAGAAACTTCAGGTGATACAGCTAAAATGTTCTGATTGACAACCATTTTTGAGACCTATAATTTGGAGCCATTTCACACATTCACACAGACAGATTTATTTATATGCTTTTCATTGCTTTCATTTCTTTTGGATTTCATGGAGCTTTTTGGGTCCACTGACAGAGAAGGTAAGTAGTTTCACTAAGAAGCCAAGGATGGCCTAATCTTGTATTGCTGAATGCTTAAATTGTGGGTTTTGACTTAGGGGGCAATTGTTGGGAAATAAGTTTTTCAGGAACTTGTTTTTAAACCTATTACAGAGAAACCTATTTGTGGGGACTTGCTTGGTCCTGCCATAAACTAATGCTGTTGCCTGCAAGCCAACAAAAGAAGGAATTATCATTAGAAGCCAAAAAGTTCCTGCTCTCTAATAATACACTTTTTTTTAAAAAAATAATGTCATTCCAACTTAACTTAGTTGTAGTTTGATGGTGAAATTGGAAATATAGACAAAAGAGTATGAATAATGCTGTCCCTAACTATTTTTTTTTTTTCCTTTCTTCACCAACTCAATAAAATATGACTAGAAAGTTAGATTGAAGTCAAATCTCTCCTTCACTTCTTCTTCTTATTATGTTCCTGAGAAAGAAATCTCTGGTTCACTTCCAACTGGGGATAAGAGAAGAACCAAGCAAGGGAAATAATTATTATTATTATTATTTTTTTTTTTTGCATTCAAGTAAATTTATTTAGTTAAAAAATATTTTAAGAAATTCAGTTCATGATGTTAAAAAGATCTACCTTTTTTCAGTACATTCAGATGGATTACTTTTTGTAAACTTGAATATATTACCCAATTGATACAACAATCTACAGAGAA